ATACATATACATATACATGACTGACACATATTTACCCTCAAACATTTCAGAAAAACTGAAGGGAACACACAAAAGAGAAAGAAAATTTCAGTAATAGGTCAATAGGTATACCTATGGGTTTTTTGTACTATTCTTATCCTTATTGTTTCCAAATTTAAAAAAATGTTTTTATGATTAGAGGGGAAGAGATTGATTACAAAGGGGCACGGGGAAGTTTTGGGGATGATGGAAATGTCTTATATTATTATTGTACTAACGTTCACACAACTGTTCATATTTGTCAGGACATCAAATTGCACACTTAAAATTGGTGACTTTTACTATTGTAAATCATACCTCAATGTCCCTTATTTGAAAAGGTACAAAGGGTAAAAGTCCATTATCTGAACGGTGGTGTATTCGTTTAAAGACAGGAAGAAGAGGGAGGACTTGCATTTGTCTTGTGAGGGGATCCGGGGACTGCTGCGTCATGGGTGGAAGAGGCTATCTGGTGAGGTTGGTTTATTGCACCCAGGATGGACATAAGCCACAGATAAAGTTTCATGGTCGCCCCTTTCTGAAGCATATTAGGGCACAAAAAATTAAGCATTTTTGCATTAATATTTATTTTGTAGTGAACATATTCACATAATGGTGAAGATAAAACACTAAAACCAAATGAAATCTGCCCCCCAAGAGGCCCTTCACATGACCCCAGATCCTGAGAACACCACTTACTGTCCTCAAAAGTTTCTCTTGGGAGGCAGGGAGAAGTCTGCATGTCCTACACAAGCCCCGCATGTGGCTGGCATCACCTTCCCCCACTTCCCATCTTTCATGGCCCTACTCAGAGGACCCCTCCCTCCCTCTTTTACTCCTCGTAGTCTCTTATGACCACCTTCCTCACAACAGTTGTGAAAAGACAACTCCCACTCAGCTTGGAAATGATCCTCAGCTTGGAGCACCGTGCCTGGCACTTTGGAAAAGTGTGCTGGATTAAACTAAGCCAAGAGGAAGGAACGTGGGCACACTTACCATTTCCTTCCTTTTCCTCTTCACAGAGGCAGAAAATTCTATCACCTTCTACTGAGAAACCCATACTATCTCACCATTCCCTCTAATAGACGTCCAGGCCAGAAACATGACAGCTCTAAAATGGGATTCTGTTGTAACCAATGCAATAAAACTTCCTGGGACTCAGACTTTCAACTCTGGTGCGAGGACAAAGAGAGACTTGATATTTATAATGAGCTTATGGGTCAAAACAAATAAAACAAAACAACAAAACAATGAGGGAGACTCAAAGCAAGACATTTCTGTCAAAGTACAACCAGGACTATAAAGACTAACTGCTAAGTTACCTACAACTGGTCAACTAAAATGGAAAGTAACACCACCCTGGTGCCTAAAAAAGCTTGAAAATGGAGCAATGATAGCAGACACTTACCAAGCATTCATTGCCAGACAAAGCCAAGAAAAGTCAGTCCACAGCTAAGAAAGGGGAGAGCCAGGGTTTGAACACAAACAGCCTGGCCTAAGAACCTCCATTTCTAACTCCTATCCTATATAATAAAAGGCTAATAGGCAAATCGACCGAACGGCGGAACGACCGGTCGCTATGATGCACACTGACCACCAGAAGGCAGACACTCAATGCAGGAGCTGCCCCTTGGTGGTCAGTGCGCTCCCACAGGAGGAGTGCTGCTCAGCCAGAAGCTGGGCACAGCGGTGGTGGTGGGAGCCTCTCCCTCCTCCTCCAGCAGCGCTAAGGATGTCCGATGATGGCAAGGAGCAGGCCTAAGTCATCAGTCGGACATCCCTGACTGCGAGAGGGCTCAGGCCAGGCTGAGGGACCCCCCTCTCCCCCAGTGTACGAATTTTGTGCACTGAGCCTCTAGTACCAACATAAGTTCAATTTCAATGCCCCAGTGAACGTTCCTTCCAGACATTTCCAACGTGAGGGCTACATCCAAAATTAAGTCTCAGCCTGATTAACATTTCACCAAGCCTCATTTAAAATCAATAAAAGATCACATTTCTCCTCATTTCATTGCTTTTGTCCTGATACTTTCTCCTGACACTGAAGAGTACTTATCAGAGTTCTTATCCAAACTCCTTTTTGTCCTCCTTTCATCTGAGGGACTGATAAGGATTTTCTTTCTACTAAAGTCCAGCATCTTCTTTATTTCTGACCTCCTTCCTCTGAGAGAGCATCGCGCTGGCATCTTGCAATTACTAGCCCTAACCAGACAACAGCTTTTATCTTTCCTATGGACTGACCCACACTTTCATTAAGCACAAACAGGATTTGGACTGAACCATCGATGTACTTCAGAAACATCCTCAGATCCTGTTGTTGCAAAAGCAGGGGTCCTCGTGGAAGAGGTGGTGGAATTTCAGTTCAGTCCATGCCCACGCAGGATCCTAAACTCCCATTTGCAAAGTGGAGCTTCCACCTGAGGCATCTGAGCAGTGGATCATCTAATCCACACACTCAGGTGAATGAACTTTGCACTCAAACTGCCTGACTTCAGACAAAACAGCATAGAGCAGTGGTTCTCAACCTTGGCTGCACATTAGAATCACCTGGGAATCTTTTTAAAATCCTGATTTCTGGGCCCATCCTCCGGAAATTCTGTTTCTTTGTATGGCTGGGCCACAACATTAGTAACAAAGAAACAGAAATTTCTGTAGGCAGGGAGCTCAGGAAATCAGGATTTTTAACTATATTCCCCTGTAATTCTAATGTCGAAACCAGGTAGAAAACTCACTGAA